ATATTTAATATATACATACTGGAACTCTGCTATTAAAATAAGTACCTCAGGAGATTAGTTTTAAAGAAAGAAATTCTAAAAGTAGTTAAGTACATTAAAAGATCTTACCTCTTGCAAAATTTTTTGTGCATCCTCTTGTGTTTCAAATGTGACGAAACCATACCTAAATAAACGCATGAATTATTTTTTTAAACTATCTTGTTAGTGTTATAATTTAAGCCAGGAAAACATGATAGATAGATTCATGGTGTGGCTTATAAATTAGGATAAAAGGAATGTCAATCCAAAGCAATACAATTCTTTTAATAAGAGTATAACTTAAATAGGAATCAAAGTAGACAAAATAACTTTAAAGAGTTAAAGTAAAATTTTGACACAAAGTTTATCATATCAATAAATGCCCATACAAACAGTGATTATGATTAGCAATAAAAATTAATAAGGCAATTAGATATAAGTAAATTTAAACTTACACAATATCAATAAAAAATGCATACAATCCGAACTCAGTTACAATAGACTTTTTATGTGATTGTTATCTTCAGGGTGCAACTCATATTAAGTTCTTTTTAAAGATAGAAATACATGACATACGGCATGCTCCAAAAGCCAAAAATTGTTAAAAAGGAATAAAAGTATATTCCTTCAAACCATAATTTCTATAATTAAGGAAATTATTTGAATAGTGCTAAATTTCTTGGCTACCATTTATTCCTACTTATAAATACTGTATCATATATACAGTACTTTTTCTGACAAATTTCTTTTGGTTTGAGCTCAAACATTAAGTAGGAGTGAAGAAGGTATTTCTACATTACATTTTTTGGTAGAACACATACACCACCCAGTGGAAAAGCATAAAATGTACTTTACATTTTCATGTATTTTTTAAATGAAAAAAAAAAAAAATGCATTTGTTGTTGCTGTTAAGTGCCGCAAGTTGCTCTTGACTCATAGGACCATGTATAGAGTTTCCAAGGGGTAGCTAGTGGGTTTGAACCACCAACGTTGTGGTTAGCAGTCCAGTGCTTATCCTGTGGCACCACACCAGGACTCAAATATGTGGATACATCAATATAATGTATGGCACTGTGTGTTAATGCGCTTGACTGCAAGATTGATTTGAATGGAAAGGTCGGTGGTTCAGGCTTACCATCTACTCCTTGAAAACCCTATACAGGGTCATTATGAGTTGGAACCAACTTGATGGCCTTAAGAACAACAATAAAATTGGCCAAACAAAAGTAATACCATCTTTTTGTTGTTAGCTGTCATTGAGGTGGTACCGACTCATAGCGATCCTATGTACAAAAGAACAAAACACTGCCCGGTGTTGGGTCAACCTCACAATTGTTGCCATGCTTGAGCTCACCGATGCTGCCACTTGGCCAATCCATCTTGCTGGG